GATACAATATATCATCAGTATGTGTGATTCACTTGCTTCTACTGGTTGATCAGTGTTGAATCCCTTGTGAATTCAACTAGTGCCCTGCTGGTAAATTCTACCAGCAACTAAATGGGATTGTAAGACATGGGAAAAGACAAAGGCAATTTATATTACATTTTCTGCCAATTGGGAACTGCAGCAATGGCTCCAATCAGTGGAGACCCAATGCTGGCAAATTTGCAAGTTTAACCAAATCATGCATATTGATATCATGAGCTTTTGCTTTGATAGGCGATAATTGTGTGTGGACACGTTTTATACAACATTGTATTAGGGGTCAAGCTTTTGATACAAAATCAATGTTGTTTGGTCACTTTTATAAATTGTTACAAAACTTAGACTATTCCAAAGTTTGGGTGTATAGCAGTATGATAGGAATGCAATAGAATTGCCATTTACTGATATAGGTTAGCTGCAGTTCTGGTATAGTTGCTTTCAGCATAGTTGTCTTTTTTTTTTTTTATTCTATTTTTATAGAATTTTCGCATATAAGCATTTATTCTCGTCAGAGTATGGCATTAAAAAATAAACATTAGAAACTTAACATAACTTTTCTATTGTGGGTAAACAAGCATTTTGTGGATGCTTCATCCTCTTTAGAACGTGTGTAAGCCAGTGGGCGAGTATATGCCTGGTTCACCCTATCTCCCCAAACTTAGGGACTCAGATCTCGCTTTGTGACATTGTTCTTGCCTGAGGGTCTGGGTTGTGGGCACAGAGCCTAGGATGGCAGCATTGTCTTGGGGGGACTGGAGTGTAGGAGGGAAGGAGCCTATGCAACTGGTTCGTGTGTGCTCCACCCTGGGCACTGGGCACTTGTTCAGAGTCTGTGGACACTAAGTTTGGTCGGCTTAAGCTGGGTCAGCGACGAGCCCTCTCTGGAGCCTCCTTGTATCCTCAAGCCAGAGTTTTGGCTGTTTTCCGTGCGCTCTGTTGGGGCTCCCTGGTCCAGGCAGCGGAGAAGTGTCTCTGGGTCATCTGCAGATGTGAGTGTGACTGTTTGGTCTCCAAGGTATCAGCGTACCGTCGGCTCCCGAGCGGTATCGGTATCATCTTCTTGGCTACTGGTGCCAGTTTTCTCTTTCTGCTAGTTTGGCAAAGGGAATGCCACTGAAGAATGATATGGAGGCCTCCTCAAACTTTGCGCACCCCAGCACTCTGGAGTGGGTCATGATGGCCGTTCATACGGCTATGTCTTTCGTGGTGATAATAGTGTCTCTAGGGGCTGCTGTCGCCGCTTTTCTGACTCTGAATGCCGCTCGTATCATGGAGGGGTCCACGCCACCCTTTAAGCCTATGGAGGCAATCAGCTTGTGGGTATATGGGAGTAATGCCGCTTCCCCCCACTTCTTCGGGGATTCCCCTCAGGCGGATATTGCGGCGCCTGTGTTGTGTTGTGCAATCTCTGGACCTGCAGCGTGAGTCCGTCCATGCAGGACTTGGTGGAGTGCAGTTGTGCTTCCCAGGCTGTGTCTTTCTCCTCTTCTTCTTTTAGCTGCTTCTGCATAAACCCCATGTCCTGCCGTATTTCCCGCAGGTCATCCTTCCATATTGGTGCATCTCCAAAAGCATATGTTTTATGTCCCCTTTGGTTGTGGAGGACGAGTCATCGTCAGAGTCTGCATCCTGGAATGTGTCACTGTGTCTAGGAGAGGTGAGTGGCTCCTCTTCCTCCTCCAGGGATTCCTCCAAGGTTTCCTCCATGCGGCTCTCTGCGGGCGCCATTTTGGGAGGCGCCGGTGGAGTAGGCCTCTCGAACGAGAGCCTTATATCCTGCTGTTTGGGGGGTTCCAGCACATGAAACTTGCGGTGCTTGCGCCCCATAGTGTCACTGGGGGGGAGATTGTGGAGTAGCTTAGTCGGCACTGGAAAATACAGTATTTTATGGAGAATCTCTGTGTTGAAGTGGAACTCCACATAAGCATGTCTAGTCAGTCTCACAGTCAGCCATGCCATAGTTGTCTTTTTTGATAAGCAATCAGGGACATGGTGTATCCAACAAACTAATGAATGTATTTATCACATCTCTGTGGCAAGCAGTAAGTCAGCTTCTCAAATCATGGATTATGAGTGGTTTGTGGGTTTGTAGAGACTTTTTGATAGCTTACTTTTAAGTTAGCTCAGTGCCTTGGAGATTGTCTGAGATATGGAGCCTTTGCGTGTTTTTGTTTTTAATGTTTGGCACAGTTGATAGTAGGCAGTGTGATCGCACAGAGTGCCAAAAAGGTTTATTTGTTTCCATAAGGCATCCTTGAGGTGGAATTGCTCAGGACAATCTCTCAACTCTCTTGCAATCTATAAAATGGATGGTTTGACAACTATGAGAAGTTGTCTTTTACAACATTTTACTAATTGCACAGTTCTAAAAACAAATGCTGAAAGTGACTTCAGGGTGCTCTGTGCAACAGCACCTTAGCAATTAAAGGTTCAGTACTAAGCATCATAACCATTTCCTTTCATTGAATTGGTTATAATACACTGAATGAGTATGGATAAAACAGAGATTATACTCTGCCTTGGCCGTACCAATTCATACTACTAATTAGCATCTGAAGGCGGACACTGCCATCTCATTATCACAAGCAGCACAATGTGACCAAGTAGCACAATGTGAATTGCCTACTGGGGACTCTCATTTAACATTAAACCATTAATGAGATGAAACGGGTCTGAGTGCTTACAGTGTCCCTTTAAGCAGAACTGTGATGGTGGGTAGTTAAACAGGATCCACTACATAACAAAACAGATATACCCCCCAATGACAACATGCAGCAAAAAATGCATGTTTGCATTGGTGGTAAATCTTCTAAATAGTGATACCCCCCATATTTGGTATTTCTTTAATCATTTGTCATAGGAGTTAGACTAAGTCTGCTGCCTGAACTGAATCTACTATATCTCTGAGCTCTAAATTTTGTCTGCTGTATTGATCATCTAGAATGGACAATTTGGAAGCCAGTTCAACTTTGGAGTATTTTAAGTAGTATTTAAGACAGGTGAGTAAGGATGTCAATGGGATGACCTGTCTAATATCCAAAGTGTCAACAAGAAGTAAACTTGTGGCACAATTTGGATTAACTGCAAAAACAGCTCAATGGATGGTTGAATTTGCTGGATTTCAATCCAGATTACATTTACTATAACATATCTTAAAGCAGCACTGACACTCCCCTCTGCAAAATGAGTATTTCATAAAGATAAAATCTTCATGAAATACTCATATTAACTATTTCACAGAAATCCCAACCCAGTCAAGAGATGTACTGAGACAATGTATGGACTACATAGTTTCAGTTTTTTTTTTCTATGTCTGACACTTCTAGACACTCGGCAGAGCTATCGCCATCTTGAAGTGTCAATCCCCCAGTTGTCACCAGTGACGGTTGCAGGGAATTAGCTCTGTCTATGGAGTATCCAGTGGTCTCGGGCAACTTATTGCTGTAATCAGTAACACTGGCTCCTGACGCTGAAGTAAAACCTACCATCCCCTACCTCCCATGGACACCGGACTCTCAGTGGCAATGTCACCATTGGGGGTCTTTGTAAATTATGCAAAGTCCCCAGATGGTGACAGTGCCAATTTAAATGTAAAACTGCCTCTCATTCTCAAGTGAGATTTCATTACATGTTCTTGTCCCCAGATCAATGTCACATAGAGAGGGCTTGTATCTTATTATGTTCCTTTTTCTGACCTTCAGCTTCTCCTAAAATAACTGAAGCTTTAAAATCTGTAATAACCTTGCGTCTCCTCTTTTATGTTTGGACAGATATGCTTCTGAAACCACTAGCGCCTACAGCGGGTAATTGCTTTTAAATTTGAACTCTTGTGGATATCATCAGCTACCTGTCATATTATCTCAATTACTGAATGTATTATACCTCTCCCTAATTCATGTGTTACTAAACTAATATTCTAAGAACCCTTCTATAAATAGAGCATAAAAAAATGTGTTCCACAACAGTTGATTACAATTTTCATAATGTATTTCTGCCATTTAATCACTTGAAAATTCTTCTCTTTACAGGCTGTTCATCTTTTATATATTTTTGAATATCAGTTAAAAGGACACTATAGTCACCAGAACAGCTACAGCTTATTGTATTTGTTCTGGTGAGTATAATCAGTCTTTTCAGGCTTTTTGCAGTAAACACAGTTTTTTTCTGAGAAAAGACAGTGTTTACATTACAGCCTAGGGACACCTCCACTGGCCACTCTTCAGATGGCTTCTGAAGGTGCTTACTGTGGCAGTGCTGCACTCTGCATGAAGACACTGAACTTTACTCATAGAGATGCATTGTTTCAATGTCCAGAGCTGTGTTTGGCTTGTGCTGGCTGATTGTCCAGAGCTGTGTTTGGCTTGTGCTGGCTCTGCCCCTGATCTGCCTATTTGACAAGCTCAGCCAATCCAATGATTTACTATGGAAAAGCATTGTGATCGGCTCAGATAAACGTCTGATGATGTCAGCCAAGCAGGCAGATCAGGGGCAGAGCCAGCAGCAGCAGACTGCAATAAAGGTACAATTTTACTATATTTATGAGGTGCAGGGGGGCTAGATGATGTTTTTAACACTATAGGGTCAGGAATATATGTTTGTGTTCCTGACCGTATAGTGTTCCTTTAATAAATAGAGAAGAAATTAGGAGGTCAGTGGTGGTGGGTAAAATGTGTGCCAATTGTATAATTTTATTTAACCCCTTCCCGACCGTGGACGTATCTGGTACGTCTGGCAGAAAACGTTCCATAATGACCTTGGACGTAACTAGTATGTCCGCAGCTATTTTGAGCTCTGGAAGCTCTGATAGTATTGCAGTGATGCTCTGCATGTGCTGAGTGCCTCGAGGGATCCTGGCACTCAG